CCTTAATGAAACCTCCGCCCTGACACCACTGCCGGCCTGAGTTACGAACGCCTTTTCGAACTCAGGCCCTGACACAGTCGCCGAAGGCCTGTTTTTCGTGCCTTTAGGAACTCAAAACATGCCGCGTCCACCTTCATTTCAAAAAGAAAAGATCGTGGCGCTGTATCTTTCCATGTTCTAGGGAAGATTCACTCTCTGTTTCCTCGAATGCTATGGAAATGTGCAAAACCAGAGTGAATCTTCTTTAGACCATGGAAAGATACAGCCCCATGAATTTTATCTTTTGTGCAACGGGGATAAAGTGGCACCAATGTCATGGTGTGAGTTTAGGAATGTGCAAGTTTAGCGGGGGCCTAGAACGGGCCTAGAACTGCACCAGTCATTACCCGCAGTGGCGCTTGGCAGATTTTGTGGGGTCCCTTTTTTGCTCCATTAATTTTGGGGAACTGCTAGAAAAGGTTGCCAATTCTGAAGGTCCGGTGCGACTCCAATGTACTTGCCCCTATGATTTAAATTTGAAGAGAGAACTAGGGCACAGTCAAGGTTTGAGCTTGAAAATGCACTTACTTGCCCCTATGATTTAAATTTGAAGAGAGAACTAGGGCACAGTCAAGGTTTGAGCTTGAAAATGCACTTGACGAAAAAGGGCCGGTAATGTCCAATGTAGACAGCCCAAGTTTCAGCTCCGGTCGGGTCACGTGGGACTATGGTTTTTTTTTTTTTTTTTTTTTTTTTTAATGTGGTCCAATGGGGGTGATGAGAAAATCATCGCAGGTTCGTCAAGTCCAAGAGAACACTTGAAGAATAGACCAAATAGAAAACAAGCAGTTGATACAGATGTTGAGCTGATCACAACAGATTATACACTTGATCTATTTTTAGCCAAAAGGCCGAGAAAGGTATAGATGGCTCACTCTCGATGTTTTTGAGAGTGAATCTGACAGCTCTTGAATGGAATCTCAGGACCCGGCATCAAGAGTTAGTGCAGCGGTGATGAACTCTTGATTTCTCAAGATTCAAGAGTAGTGCAGCGAGGCCCTTTATCAGCCCGTGTATCCCGCTGGGCCCCCGTATTCCCGTTCCACAAAAGACAAAAATCATGGCGCTGTATCTTTCCTTGTTCTAGCGAAGATTCACTCTCGTTTTGCAAATTTCGAGATCCATAGTGGAAACCGAGAGTGAATCTTCCGCTAGAACAAGGAGAGATACAGCGCCACCATCTTTTCATTTTTTCTTCTTGTTTCTTCTTTTTTTTTTGGAAAACAGCCTGGCCTTCCGATGTGGATGACTAGACTGCAGTTACAAACTCTGCCCTGCGACAGCCACACTATGGAGGAGTTTGGCCTGCAGTGTAAACTTCAGAGAAGACTGGACTCCAAAACGGCAGTTTGAAATGTATTTTCAAACTCTAACCCTGACCGCGCCCTAGTTTTCTTTTTCTTTTTTTTTTTTGGGGGGGGAAGGGGGGGGGTTACTATGGAGCGGTGTGTTGAAAGAGTGGTTAGATTCTGTAATCCCCCGGGTCAGAGTTGTTTTCAATCCTGTAATCCCCCGTCCTCCTCCAATCAATCCAAAGTACTTGTTCCAAGAATCACAACCGCGTTTACAACAACCCCGAACAATCGAAAACAAGTGTTCAACAAAGTCTGCAGGCCCAGTGCAGGAGTCTTCTTCTTCCTCCTCGCCACCTCATACCCCTGGCTATGGCTGCCGTAGCAGCAGTAACCCCACAGCTGTCACAACCTGCCAGTCTGAACCAGCAACCCCAATAATCGCAGTGCCAGCTCAGTGCCTGCAGGGCAGAGCAGCACTGGCAGTCCTGATGAAGAAGGAGACAACCAATCCAGTACTTCGAAGAAGACAAAAACGAAGTTCCTCTTGAGGAGGAACAGCAAATATGGCTGCCAAGTGTAGAAAGGCAGGGCCCAAACCCCAACAACATAGTCCTGGCGACGCTCTTGCGCAGAGCTGCTGATAGCAGCAGTGCTATCTCCAACTTCGTGTCCCAGCCCCAGGTATGGCTGGGCTTCGAGGAAGAAGATGTCCTCGCCCAAAATAACGCAGCAACGCTTCGGCCACGAACGGGCAGCGTTTCCCCAGCAAAAGTGTCGAGAAAAGACCCCCACCCAAATTTCCTACCCTCTGCCAAGACTCACCTGTATCTAGATGGAAACAGGGGAAAAGGGGACCTAGAGGCTAGACCTATATCACAAAGGAAAAGGCATAGGCTGAATGGCCTAAGACTACCAAACAGAGACTACTAGTAACTGACATTTCGTTAAAACTGACATTTTTTTCTAAATTCACGAAAATGAGCGTAGAAAAAACAATATCTTTTAGTGTTCTTTTGTCCTCATGACGTGAGATGATCAGATCATCGGGTGTCGTGGCGACTCCCGATGATCTGACCATCGGATGTATGTGAACGGTACTTTACGTTGACGTACATCAGATGGAC